AACCCGAGAAGGAAAAAAAACTACGAAGCCACACCAAACCCAAATTTCACTATGAAATGAGAAATGTATAGAGATTTTCATCACTCAGATCTTCTCTCTAAAACACCAGAACTTATAACAATTATGCTCTGAATCATCTCTTAATCTCACAAGAGAAAGCACACACTTAAATCCACCTCTCGAACACACCACAACTTCTATGCTTCGTCGAGAGACTACTTCGAGCTAGAGAGATCTTCGTAAAGCAAGGATTTAAATCCTTAACAACGTAGAAACTATTCTCGGCGTCTACATGCCACTCCTATGCGCTGCCTTCCGCTTGCTCGGCTTGAGGTCATGAATTCGGGTGCCTGGAAGCCTCCCTTACTGAATCCAGGTGAGGGGGTGTCCAAAGTTGGCGCTTAGGCACCACCTTTACTAAATTCAACCGCCTGAGTGGTCCCTACTAATCCTGACGTCTCTTGTGCTTCCTTTCAATCAGACTCCATACTTTACAATCTCCCATTTTAATACTGATTGCACCCAATTCTACACCTCCAAATCTTTCCCAACATCTGCATAATCTTCAGTCATATACCGTAGTGTGGCTCACCTCCGCTCTCAACCTTACTGAACTCCAATTGAAGCCAAAAATAGCTCCAATTTCTCATTAGTCACCACTTTAGTCAATATATCTGCAAGATTTTGAGTTGTGCAGCTTCTCCAATTATAACTACCCAACTTCTAGGATAGATAATAAAGTGACACCTCGGCTGGATATGTTTTGTCCTAGCATGAAAAACAACATTCTTAGCAAGATAAATAACACTTATACTATCATTATAAAGCATTCTAATCTCCTGCACTTTGCCCAATTCAACCATAAAATTTTATAGCTAAATCATCTCCTTGCTAGCCTCAGTGATAATAATGTATTCGACTTTCGTAATTGAAAGAACAGTAATCTTCTGCAGCTTGTAAACCCAACTATTGTGTTCTCAAAGAATATATAATCTATTGTACTTCTTCTAACATCTAAATCTCGTGACAGATTTAAATCTACAAACTCTTATAGACTGATCCTTACACTTTTAAAACAAAGTGCTCTTTTGATTGTTCCCCTTCAATACCTGAGAATCCACTTCACCACCTCCCAATGCTATCTGTCTGGATTGCTCACGTACCTGCTGACCACTCCCACTGCATATGTAATATTTGGTCTCATACAAATCATAACATACGTCACACGTCTAACAGCCGAAGCAAAGTTCTTCCCATTTGTGTTTGCTTTGCTTCAAACTTAGGCGATAGATCCTTAAATAGCTTGAAGTGACTGCTTAAGGGAGAGCAAATTGGTTTTGTTTCACTCATGTTAAACACATGAATAATTTTCTCAACATAATTTGCCCGAGACTTCAGTGTATCTACACTTCTGTCCCTGTAGATTCTCACCCCGAGGATATTCATGGTTGAACCTAAATTCTTCATCTCAAATTCCCTTGATAATTGCTACTTCAAGTCCCTGATTTTCTCCAAATCTACCCTGCAATCAGCATATCCACATGCAAAAGAAGCAACATTGACACTTCATGTACTAAAATTTTTGATAAAGCGACAATGGTCTGCATGACACTTCATGTATTGATTGTCTGACATGAACTTGCCAAATCTCATGTACCACTATCTTGAGGTTTTTTAAAGTCATAGTCTTTTCTTCAATATGTGGACCAATTCTTTTTTCCTGGAACCTCATAACCTTGCGATTGCACCATATAAGGTTCATCTCCCAGACATTTATGTAAAAGGTTATATTTAAATTCATATGTTATATATGCAGATCTTTATATACTACTGAGCTCAACATAACTCTGGTAGTTGACATCTTCACCACAAGAGAAAAAATCTCAGTATAGTCAACTCCTTTCTTCTATTGAAAGCCCTTCACAAAAAAAACTTGTCTTATAGCATTTATTACCATCTGACTCATCTTTCAGCATGTCGACTCGTTTGTTGTGTAATGCACAATTGTTATATGGTAATACTGTCAAATCCCATGTCTCATTTGATCTCAAGGACTGCATCTCATCATCCATGAAAATCTCCCGCTTCTTTGAATCTTCAATTTGAGTAGCCTCTCCATACCACTTTGGTTAACCACTATTTGTTAGCAATAAATAGTACAACAAAGGAGAATATCTCTACATCCATCTTGAGATCTACTTTATATCATTACTTCAGTAGCAGATGAATGAGGAACTTCTTGAGCTTCATCTGATTGAACATGTCTTCTTTCTTCACCCTCCCAATCACGAGTATCTTCTATCTCACAATATGTGGACTCTTTAGAAGAAACTGACAAGTAATCCTAAGTTCTACTCTTGTCCTAGTGCATATTCATTTCATTGAAAGTAGCATCCTTGCTCCTGATGAACTTCTGATTCTACTAATCCCATAATTTGTATCCATATTCATCTTAGTCATACACAATGAAAGCGCACTTGACAGATTTCCAATCAAGTTTACTTCTGGGCCCTGCATCGATGTGAACATACAAGAAACAACCAAATACCTTCATATAAGATAGATTTACTTATTTGTCACTTCAGGCTTCTTCAGGTAAACATTCATTTAAAGGTATTAATGGATAACAATTGATCATATAAACAATAATGTTCATTGTTTTTGCCGAGAATTACCTTAGCAAATTTGCATACAACTGCACTTCTAGCATGTTCTATGATTGTTCTAGTCATGCACTCAACCACATCATTTTATTGTGGTATCCCTAGAACAGTGACAATTGATCATATAAACAATAGTGTTCATTGTTTCTGACGAGAATTGCCTTGGCAAATTTGCATATAACCTCACTTCTAGCATGTTCCATGATGGTTCTATTCATGCACTCAACCACATCATTCTAGTGTGGTATCCTTAGAACAGTGAACTTATGCTTGATCTCTTATGCAACATAAAAATTCCTAAAAGTCTAATCACGATACTCGCCTCATCATCTGATTTAAAACACTTCAACCTCAAATCTATCTCATTTTCTACCTTAGCCTTATACTTCTTCAACACTTCAAATACATCAATTTTTTTCTTTAAGAGATAAACTCGCAGCTTTCTAGTGTGACCGTCGATGAAAGTGACAAAATAATAAGAACTTTCAATAGACTAAACTGAAGTAAGACCCCATACGTCAGTATACGCTAACTCCAATTTCTTTGACCATCGACCCATCTTTGAAAAAAAAAAAACTTTATTCTGCATGTCATATACACAATATTCACAGATTTCAAATCCCGAAGGTTGTTCTTTGAAATTAGAGAATTCATATATTTTTCACTCTTATGGCCAAGTTTGAGATGGCAAAGACCTGCATCAACTTTGATTCCAACCACATCAATGGATTATGTCATCTCATTAATCAAGTAAATAATGTATTCAATGTTGTCCCAAGCGATAACTATTGCCCCTGGTCACATTCCATGAATCACTTGTGAAAGTAATCACATACCCTCACTTTGGCAACTGAACCACCAATATTAGATTTTGCTTCATACTTAGAACATGCCTACTTTAAACAACTCAACATCAACATCACCATTCCCAACAAAATTACATGTCTTATTATCCCCCAAATTAACCTTCTCTAAATCACTCTGTGTAATTTTTAAACACATCTTTGTTGGGACATGCATGAAAATAGACACCTGAATCTACTATAAACGATTCAGTGTTGACTAGAGATGAAACAAAAAAATTCGCATTGGATTTCACAAATGAAGACATTTATAGAGAGATTTTATTCTTGTCCTTTACCATTAGCCTTCCTTGAAGCTTTAAAGACCTTCTTGAAATGACCTTTTTCCCCACTTCCAACATTATCCTCTGTCATTTTCTCTGCCTGACCTTTTCTCTTCTAGACTTGAATTTACCTTTGCTTGTATTCATATCAAGATTCTTCCCCTATTTCTAAATTTCAATGCAGAAAATGAAGATTCATCATTCGTTGACTTTCTATGAACTTCTTTATTCAACACTAGCCCAAAAATGTCATCGAAGTTTAACTTCATATTACCTCAAAATTTACCACCGTGACCAATCCATCTCAGCTATTCTACAATGAAGACAAAATTAACATGTCCTAACCTTATCATCAAATTTGATACCCACATAACACAACTACTTAGTCACATTATTGAAATTGTTCACTTGTCTAGCCACCAAACTGTTTTTTATTACCTTCATACTGAATAATTTCTTCATCAGAAAAACTTTATTTGAAAAAGAATGTTTTTCATATATCTTTATCAACATCGTCATTAGATCCACCATAATTTTCTCATTCACTATATTGAACGCAAAGTGAAAGACAGATCAAACCTAGGTTTGTTGATTCAACATTCTCGTTCTTCCAGAGTCATCGTTTCAGGCTTCTTGGTGATTTCTTATAGTGGCATATCCACCTATATATTTTTTTCTGATACAACAAATCTTCCACTTGCATTTCAAGAACACAAAGTTCGAACCATTGAATTTTTCCACTTTGTACCTCACTTTGTCGGTCATTGCTCCCACTCGAATTAACATTCTTTAGAAAAATAAATTTTGTTTTGATACCACTTGTTGGGAAGAAAGCTAAGACTTTAATCAATTTACAATCAAATTCACATAATGGAATAAGGCACATTGATTCGAAATTTGGAACAAAATATCGAAGAAAAACACAACAAAGTAATCACAGAAAAATAGAACAAGATTTAATGTATAAAAATCTGAGAACAGGAAAAACTACAGAGCCACACCACATAAAAAATTCACTATGAAAAGATAAATATACAAAGATTTTCACAACTCAGATCTCTCTCTACAACACTGGAACTTACAATAATTGTACTCCAAATCCTCTTTTGATCTCACAAGAGAAATCGTATGCTGAAATCCACCTCTCAAGCACATTGCAACTTATATGCTCCGTCGAGAGACTAGCATGCGGCTAGAGAGATCTTCATGAAACAAGGACTTAAGCCCCTAATTGCGTACACATTGCTCCCGGTACCTACGTGTCATTCCCGGCCTACCGAACACTGCCTTTCAGGTTTCTCGGGTTGAAGTAAAGTACTTGAGCGCCTAAGCGCCCCCCTTACTGAATCCAGGCGAGGAGGTGCCCTATGTCGGCGCCTACGCACCACCTTCAATGGATCCCAACTCCTGTATGCCATTCAGACCAGGCTCCTAGGTGCCCCTCCTGATCCTGACATCGCTTGTGTGGCCTTTTAATCAAGCTCTATACATTGCAAATTTCTACTTATTTACATATCTAACATGTAAACTTTAATTTTTACATAGATACCATCATATTGAAGCATGAAAAGGTGTATTTCACATTGAAAAAGTTATAATAATGCTATTTTTTAAATGAAAAAAATAAAATTGAAATGTTAGATACGTAAATATATAAGGATTGGGTGGTATGTATTTAAATGACTCAAATGTTATTACTAATAGCCTGGTCATGTTTTTGCAATTGTAGGCATCCAATATCCACAACCTTATAAGAAAAGCAGTGGTACAAAGAAAACAAAAGTGGTGGCTAGAAGGCTCTCATCTTAGTTCAGCCATTTAAGGTCGGACACTAAAAGCTAGCCATTTAGCAAACTGAACAGAACCCAAAAGTGGAGAAAATTCTGGGTGATATATTGGACTTGAATCATCAAATCTATTAATATTGCACCAACCGATCAACCGAATCAGCTATCGCTACTACGAGCTATATAACATAAAACTGACTTCAAAATATCACAAGATATCATCAACGAGCTATTAAATATTTAAATATTTAAATAATAAATAAATAAAATCAATCCAAATTAATAAAAAAAAAACCAGATTTGACCTATCCCTATCTCCCACTCTCCCCTTTGGCGCTCCCTCTTTTTTTGTTTAACTTTTGTCTTAAAACACCATGCGAGAGCTTGCAAAAATGTGGTTGATGCCTTGGGATGGCTTGATCACTATAATGGACTGCCTAAAGGAACCATATGCAAATAAATGTTTACTTTGATCTGCCAAACTTCAATGCTACAGGTGATTATTCAATTCAGCAAGGCTCGCTCTTTAAAGGAAATCGATTATACAACAACAACAACAACAACAACAACAAAGCCTTAATCCCACTATGTGGGGTCGGCTACATGAATCCTTTTTCTCCATTGCGTCCTATTTAGTATCATATTTTCATTTAGTTCTAGTAAATTAAAATCATTTTTAATACAATAAGCCCAAGTCTTCCTAGGTCTACCTCTGTTTTTCTTAACACAAGTCGAATTTAAAACATCTACTCTCCTAATCGGATCATCTAATGGTCGACGTTTAATATGACCAAACCATCTAAGACGACTTTCTCTAATTTTGTCTGTCACAGGAGCTACACCAACCCTATCACGAATATATTCATTCCGCATTTTGTCTCTAAGTGTAAAGCCACTCATCCACCTAATCATTCTCATCTCGGCAACACTTAACTTATTATTATGCTTCTCTTTTAAAGGCCAACATTCAGCGCCATAGAGCATTGCAGGTCTCACCACCATCTTATAAAATTTTCCTTTCAGTCTTAGCGGTACTTTTCTATCACACAAAAGGCCCGAAGCATTCCTCCACTTCAACCAACCAACTTGAATTCTACTATTAACATCCCCATCTATATCACCATCGCTTTGGACAACGGACCCAAGATATCTAAATCGTTCACACCTTTTAATAATTTGATCACCCAAAGTCACACATCTGTCACTAGAGCTATTACTACTAAAATTACATTCAATATATTCAGTTTTAGTTCTACTTAAACGAAGGCCTTTAGACTCCAATGTAGACCTCCATAATTCAAGTTTTTCCTGGGCTTTTTCTCTCGTTTTATCCACGAGAAGAATATCATCAGCAAAAAGCATAAACCAAGGTACATCCTCTTGTAGATGTCCAGTAAGACCATCCATAACTAAAGCAAAAAGATATGGGCTTAAAGTCGATCCCTGATGTAAACCAACAGAAATAGGAAAATATTTTGTCAATCCTCCTTCAGTTTGAACACAAGTAACAGCTCTAGTATACATATCTTTAATGACTTGAATATAAGTCAAATCAACACATTTCTTCTCGAGAACTTTCCAAAGGATATCTCTTGGAACCTTATCGTAAGCTTTTTCTAAATCAATAAAAATCAAATGTAGATTCTCCTTATTATCTCTGAACTTCTCCATCAAACCTCTCAATAAATGTATAGCTTCCATAGTAGACCTGTCAGGCATAAATCCAAATTGATTATGAGAAATTTTCGTGATGCATCTTAACCTATGTTCAATTACCCTCTCCCATAATTTTAAAGTATGACACATCAACTTAATTCCTCTATAATTTGCACACTCTTGTGCATCCCCTTTATTCTTAAAAATGGGGATCAAAATACTCTTCCTCCACTCCTCAGGCATCTTTTTAGTTTTTAAAATAATATTAAAGAGTTTAGTAAGCCAAGAAACTCCCAAATCTCCCAAATATTTCCACACTTCAATTGGGATATCATCAGGTCCTACAGACTTTCCACCCTTGGTTTTCTTTAAAGCCTCCTCAACTTCTTTTTTGCTAATGCGACGGTAAAAATGAAACGTTTTATTATTATTTACGATATTAAAATCACTAAGTTCGATCGTATTTTCAGAAACTTCATTAAAAAGTTTATCAAAGTAACTCACCCACCTATGTTGAATATCTTTTTCTAAGAAAAGTACTTTTTGATTTTCATCTTTAATACACTTTACTTGAGGTAAATCTTTGATTTTCTTTTCTCTTTGTTTGGCTAGTTTATACATATATTTTTCACCCTCCTTAGTATCTAATCTATTATAAAGATCATTAAAAGCAGAATTTTTAGCATCACAGATTGTTCTTTTAGACTCTCTGCGAGCCGTTTGATATTTTCTCCAGTTCTCTAAGCTTTTACATTTAAACCAATTTTTATAACATAACTTCTTATATTTTATCTTTTCTTGCACATTATTATTCCACCACCAACTATTTTTATTTGTAAATATTTTTCCCTTTGATTCTCCAAGAACATCTTTTGCTACATGTTTAATAGCGTTTGTTACTTTATCCCACATCACATTTGCTTCTTCATGAATATCCCAAATTTTGAAATCTTGAATTTTACTCATAAAATAAATTTTATTTGTATCTTTTAAGTTTCTCCATCTAATTCTGCAATGATGAGTCCTAGTATTTTTTATTTTACAACTCTTAATCTTAAAATCTAAAACGAAGGAAATCTAAAAGGAAATCGATTATGCATTTTGAAAATTTCATTGCAACAAACAACTAATGAAATAGTGCCGCGGTATGAGAAATTATTGCATTAGGACACCTGATGCAAATTTGCATCAAGTGTCCAATAATAAGGGGTCATGTGGCAATTTGGGCCCATTGACATACACGGTTTGGGCCCAGGTTGCCACGTGGCACCCTGTTATTGGACACCTGATGCACATTTGCATATGGTGTTCTGATACAATAATTTTTCCAGCGGTAGAGGATAGAAGCATACATGGGCTGAGACAAGACACATTCGTTACAACAATCCCGAAATCCCGATTCTTTTGGTCGAAACTTTGCCACAAATTTATCATTTTGTAGAGAAATGCACTGCATGACAACAATATCATAGGAGAAACACTGGACTATATACCCCCACCTCTTCCCAACTAAATTTAGGAAGAACTAAGCATTGAGTTTGTGTTGGGGATGAGAAATTCTTCACAGGGATGCCATTGAATGAGAGCTATAGACTGAGGATTTGGTACAGGCACCAGAAAGAGCAAATGTGAAGTAGAAAACTAATGCTACAATTCGTTCATCTAATAGGAGTCATATATATTTCAAAGACAATTCAGAAAAATAGTAAAGGTAATGCTGGCATCATGTTGGATGTCATTTATGTGGAATGTCCATTTGAGCGGAACGGGATTGTGCCTCACGCTTATACTTTCTCTGTAGCTCCAGATATTCGTCGGTGCTCTCCATAGCACTCTTGCAAACCCGAGAGATGAATATCCACACATACAATGTGCCCCGTAGCTTGTGGTGGCCAACACGTGTCGAATACCTGAAAAGTGAGATTTTGGCCCTGACACACCCGCACCAGGATGCGGGCGAGCTGACAAACATGGAGTTGGGAAGACCCGCGCAACTTCCGGGCGCGTCGGCGCCCAATCTTATGGACTCCAGCGCGTCTGCATTGCGATTGCAGTGCTCCAGTGCCATCTCAGCTAGTCCGCGCCAGTTTTCTTAGGGCACACCCATGTTGGACAAATGACGGGCCCGCGTCAGAAGATAGTGAGTTGGGTGCCCCTGCTCCGCGGCCCCGGCACACCTGTGCCAGACCAAAATATGCCCCTATTTTGTTGCTCGCAAATTCCAAAAGGATGGACCTTTGGTCCCTCAAATCCCACCATAAGGCCTCTAACCAGAGCTTTAAAAGCTAGTTACCTGGTTATTATGCCTAAAATGATTTTAAGCGAGGGACCAATGGTCCCTTGGGTGCCTCCCACGCCCAAAAAAAGGCAAAAGGGGAACCTTAATCCCAATATTCTTCAGCCAAGGAGAAGCTTTGGAGAGGGGAGAGCTGAGCTAGGTGCTTCTTCTTCCTTTAGATTCCTTCCTCCTCTTCATCTTCTTCTTCTTCCTCCATTGTTTTGATAAGAAGAGTGTGAGGGAGCTGTTAGAGAGGCTTCTTGGAGGAGCTTTTGAAGTTTCGGCCAAGGGAGGAAAAGGCTTCATCTCCTTTAGAAAAGAAGAGCTTCATCTTGCTAGGAGAAGGATTCTCTTGGAGCTTCCTCAGATTCTCCTTCATTAGGAGAGCTTCTTCCGTGTTTGGATAAGTGGCGGAGCTAGCATCGTCAAAATAAGGTTGGAGCTTGGAGCAAGTCGAGAGCACGCTTCCTCAACTGTCATGTAAGTGAATTCTCTAAATCCCCTGCAAATTTTTAATCCTTGAGCCCGCCTAGGTTTGGATCTTAAAGGATTAAGGATTAGAGTTTTGTGCTCAGAAAAAGCCGATAGGTTAGGGAGCCTTCTCGTAGACTTTCCCCCTTGCGAATCCGAGAGATTTACCCTCTAAGTCCTAGTTCCAAAATCCCACAAGACAAGGTCGTACTAATCTTGTCGTTTGTTTCGGCGGTTTCATTTGGATGGACGCTTGAAGCTGACCGACCGAGCGAACGAAGAATTTCCTTT